TTCTGAATAGAATGCTTCCTGACACAATCATGCATTATGCCAGGTATCCCCATTTCACCATTTCTTCGTTTTGGAATAATCTCGATGTTGCTGTTAAATCGTCAACAACTTACAGCCACAAATCTCCATCACATGAAATCAAAATACATCTTACTTTGGATATGGTGAACGCAAACTAAACATTATACATTCAAAATAAAGGTGTAACTGTTGTTAAAATAATTATTATCTATTTAGAGTTAACATTGTTGGTAACCATGGCTGTATCATAAGGTAATCAACCTTGTTGTTCCGAATGGACGTGCACAAAGTGTTTTACTGCGGGATGAAACTAGAAAACCTGGCAAGTAACCCGTGTGGTTTGGCAGAGGTGACCCTGTGGTTTGGCAGAGGTGACCTGGTATTTGGCACGAATGAACATAGTCGTAATGATGTATCCGTACTACTTCATACAGAGAGGAAATAGTAACTGATGTCACAGGATGAGAACTGCAGAAGGATGTCACCACAAAAACTGAAAGTCAAAGGTAAAATTCTCAAAAACTCTACACAGAAGCTGCTCACTATCCTCTAGGAGGTTTCTTTCCAAATTTGGTCACGGTATACCTTCGTCTAAACAGGAAATAAACGATTGTAAAGTGTTTACTCTTTCAGCTGTTGGGTGTCGCCCCTCTGCTCTCAGGGAAATCAGGCCAGTCGTTTACACCAAATTGGTTTGCCTTCCTCCAAGCATGCTTCCGACCAAACGTGGAGGAAACTTTTTCAGTCCAACATTGGTTTCGTCGTCCGTCAATTTAACGGAAAAAACCCAAACAAAACAAAACGAACATCCCCCCTCCCTAAAACAACAAAAACAAACAAACAAAACCGCTAGTCATCGAATTTAGTCAGAAGCATTATCTGGTAAAGGGGGACCAACCTTGTATTGTAAATAAAAAAAACTACACCCGTCAAAGTCTAAGATAGCCGCCTGTCAGACACGAAATATATAAAGTAGTAACCATGCTAGAGATTGAGTGGGATGGGTGGGCTACAAATGAACACTACTTATCAGGAAATAAATCTATTATCTCATTACTTCATTACAAGCAATCACCGATATTCGCTCTATTTACCTACTGATTTGTCTCAGGAAATTTTTCTACATGTTTCATGAAAAATTGAGATCTTCCCGGTTAAGTTTTGTCCAAACACACGCCCTTCATTTTGATCATTCTAATTTTTGTGTACATATTACTGGCCTAATATATTATGCCCTGGAAATGTTTTAGGCTTGTCAGCATTTAAACGGAATCCTGAACTTAAATCGAACATTATGGAAGTCGACAGTGACGGAACACAGTCCACCATTATCACACTAGTAGGTATAGTAAATAATACAGGGTATCATATAAGTATAAGTATATATACCTTCTTATATGTTTTGACGGGACGTCTACCCATAGCCTTAATCTTCACGATCAGTCCACACTGCTCGATATTACTGAGATACATATGCAGGTTGCCGCTCCGACACCGAAGTTTTCCTCCGAGCCCGAGATAAACAAGGACATAACCTATCTGCAGTGCTTGATGTAACTACCTGTAGATAATCTACTAAAAGTAGGGCACACGTTTGTTTGCACTTGATATCAGCGTCAATCATGTTGAAAAATGTTTGATTATCGCCCGCAAAAACTGCAGAGTGATCGAGGCTAGGTCTCCTCCGAATTGAAGCTTTGTTGTACTCCACGAGCATAACTACTAGGTACTCGTACATAGATATTGTTTTGTGTCTTTTTTTCTTTTTTAAAACTTTTAACCTATAAATATAACTGAAGTTATTCAAATAAAACAAAAAAATCTTTAACTGTGACACTAGTTTCATTCTTCTTACGTGCAAAGAACAGCATTGCCTGTTTCTTACAGACGTGTGTCAGCAGCGACCTGTAATGTCCGTAAAAGATAAACAATCTCCATTAGACGTTGTGTGATATGTTTACACATGTGGTCTGTGTCTTGTGGTTACGTTAGGAGGATAACTGGTTTTATCTTGCATCACGTCCTGTCAACAATTACGACTCATTTGGCCCATTAAGGATGACCGACAACTTTCGATAAAATTTTACGAATTACATACAGTAGATGTAAAGCTAAATAGTGAATTAAACTGCGTCAGATAGCGATTTCCTCCTTCGAGGACTCGTCAGTAATGCTAAGGTCCTACATTTTGAATCCTTGAAGGAGATTGATGAACATCAAAAGTGACAGATCTAGAGGGAGAGTACATATGGACATCGGGAACCGTGCTATTATTCAAATAAATTAAAACGTGTGGACACTAGCAATTCAGTAGTGTCAAAGTTTTACACCACATGTCCTCGTGTGTTCTACTTGTTTGTTGTTTATAAGTAACGTATAGCTCAGCAATATCTCGATAATAACCCGGGACACCGGTATTGTGTTATGTCAGTGATATTTTATGATAAAACCCCGGATTGTGTTATATCAGTGGTATTTTATGATAAAACCTCGGATTGTGTTATATCAGTGGTATTTTATGATAAAACCCCGGATTGTGTTATGTCAGTGGTATTTTATGATAAAACCCCGGATTGTGTTATGTCAGTGGTATTTTATGATAAAACCCCGGATTGTGTTATGTCAGTGGTATTTTATGATAAAACCTCGGATTGTGTTATATCAGTGGTATTTTATGATAAAACCCCGGATTGTGTTATGTCAGTGGTATTTTATGATAAAACCCCGGATTGTGTTATATCAGTGGTATTTTATGATAAAACCCCGGTATTGTGTTATATCAGTGGTATTTTATGATAAAACCCCGGATTGTGTTATGTCAGTGGTATTTTATGATAAAACCCCGGATTGTGTTATATCAGTGGTATTTTATGATAAAACCCCGGTATTGTGTTATATCAGTGGTATTTTATGATAAAAAAAACTCATTTAGCATTACTTGATACGTACCATACAATGAAGACCGTCCACGAGGAAATTTGATGTTCTTAATCTTCTCAGTGTATGCACGAGGTGGTCACTCTGTATACCGTGAAGGCATGGTTATACACTGGATGCTTGAACAATATCATATGAATGACGCGTTGGATATGTTCCGAGTCGTTTTGCTGCAGATAAAGATAATAGTTTAATACAGCCTAGATATCAACCGTCTAGGTTATGGATATGTAGGTGTCGTGTTTAATCTAAGTGTGTAGTGTCTGATCTAAATAACACTAAAAAATTTTTTTACAGGAAAAAACGTTCTCGCGTTATCGAACTAGATGTCACGAGGTGCAGTGGCAATGGTTACTACGCATGGGATATTTTTTTTGTGTTTCTATACTTAGAGCAATTACGCAGTTAGGAATTTCCAGGTCAAACAACGGGAAATAGAAAAGGGTTTAAGAATGTAATAATGGTGTAACTGGAAGATTGTTGACCAATCTGTCATCTACGAGAATTTCATTCGTGTACGTTAAGAAAACCTTTCAAATTTGACGTTGATTCAAGAGTACCCCACTCAAAATGAAGTGCGTTCTGGACCCATCAATATCGTGTGTGCCCCCGCGAGCAATAGTAACTGCACGAACTCTTTTGTGCATTGATTTGTTCGATATATTAACCCTCCTCATTGGTATACGATTCCATTCCTCATCCAGCGCCAACGCCAACTGAGTGACGTTGATTGGAGGATTCGGCCTACGTCTTATCCTTCTGTCCAACTCGTCCCATAAATGTTCTATTGGGAGAGGTCAGGGCTGTATGGGGGCCAGTCAAGGTTGAGGACATTGTTTGCTGCGAGATAACCGCGACAAACCCTCGCTACATGCGACCGGGCGTTGTCCTGCTGAAACGTCAGTTGACGCTGCTGTACTAGAGGAACAAAATGCGGCGCTAGGACTTGATATCTATAGCGAACGGCCGTGAGATTTCCCTGAATAACGACCAGAGGAGTCTTGAAACCATGCGCAATCCCTCCCCATACCATGACCGATCCTCCTCCAAAGCGGCCATTCTCTATCACACAAGCATGTGCATAGCGCTCGTGGGTACGTCTATATGGCCCGGTAAAGCGAAAACCTGGAATCATCTGAGAACAGGATCCTTCTCGCACGTTGCACTGGGAGGTGTCTTACGGAATGTGCGTTCAGCCATTGCATTCGTCTGGCACGTCACCGCGCATTAAGCTGTGGTCAAACATATGGCCGCCGCGGTCTTAGACCGAAGGCACGCAGTCGTGTACGCACTGTCTTTGGATCAATTGGAACATGATGACGCCCAATTGTGTTCCTTGCTGTTTCCGTGGCCGTCAGAAAGCGATTGCGTAGCTGCGAAAGTCGCATTGCCCTATCCTGCCGACACGTCGTCACACGAAGGCGACTGTTTCAGGAACGGTCTGCAACCCTTCCGGTGGCACGTAGTCTTTGGATGAGACGGCAGATGTTCGATGGATGGACTCCAAATTGATTAGCGACCTGATTTTGCGGGGCACCTTCCATAAGAAGTGCAATGGCACGACCCCTGTCAACTTCGGACAGTCGTGGCATTTTCTACGGTGAACTGTTAATGCTTAAAATGTGGGAAGTCAACACGGATATGTCTGAAGATTCGCGCACACAGATTTTGAACCAATGTTTTATACTGGGTTCGATATATCGTGCTTTGGTCTCTTATTCTTTTGTACAATCTGCGTGCGCAGTTTAGTTATGCATCAGTGATTTTAATACGGTACCATAAGGACCTAACTCAAATGCACACATTTGTCAAGTTTCAAGGGTGTACGTCAAGGATTTAATTTACAATATTAACTTTCTGCTAATTGCGTTTCTTTTTCCTCTCAGTATATATCCTGCTCACACCGTTTATGGCACCAGGCAAAAATTAGGTAACATGAAGTCAGTGTCCATAGATGATGGGGATGGTAATATGACGTCAGTGTCCATTGATGATGGGGAGGGTAACATGACGTCAGTTTCCATTGTTTATGGGGAAGTAATATGACGCCAGTGTCCATTGTTGATGGGGATGGTAACATGACGTCAGTAGTCATGGTTGATGGGGACGGTAATATGACGTCAGTGTCCATTGTTGATGGGGACGGTAACATGACGTTAGTGTCCATGGTTGATGGGAACGGTAACATGACGTCAGTGTTCATAGATGATGGGGACGGTAACATGACGTCAGTGTCCATAGATGATGGGGACGGTAACATGAAGTCAGTGTCCGTGGTTGATGGGGACGGTAAAAAGGCGTCAGTGTCCATGTTTGATGGGGATTGTAAAATGACGTCAGTGTCCATGGTTAATGGGGACGGTAACATGAAGTCAGTGTCCGTGGTTGATGGGGACGGTAACATGACGTCAATGTCCATGTTTGATGGGGATTGTAAAATGACGTAAGTGTCCATGGTTAATGGGGACGGTAACATGACGTCAGTATCCATAGATAATGGGGACGGTAACATGAAGTCAGTGTCTGTGGTTGATGGGGACGGTAACTGACGTCAGGGTCCATGGTTAATGGGGATGGTAACATGACGTCAGTGACCATAGATGATTGGGACCGTAAGATGACGACAGTGTCCATGGTTAATGGGGATGGTAACATGACGTCAGTGTCCATGGCTGATTGCCACGGTAATATGACATCATGGTCCATGGTTAATTGGGATCGTTACATGATGTCTGTGACCATAGATGATGGGGACGGTGAGATGACGACAGTGTCCGTGGTTAATGGGCATGGTAACATGATGTCAGTGTCCATGGTTGATGGAACGGTAACATGACATCAGTGTCCATAGATGATGGGTAACATGACATTAGTGTCCATGGTTGATGGGGAGGGTAACATGACGTCAGTATCCATGTTTGATGGGGACGGTAACATGACTTCAGTGTCCATAGATGATGGGGACGGTAACATGACGTCAGTGTCCATATTTGATGGGGAAGGTAACATGACAAAGTAGTGGCACTTTCACGTTTGCTTCAAATCTATTTTTTCAAGAATTTCTATTCTACCTTTGTGTGCTTAAACATTGACACTGCCCGATTTGCGGAATGTTCCAGATTGTTTAGTCAAATGATACCCACTCTGTCATAAAGACTTGAAGAATGTGCAAGAGATGTAAAAGCTCATAAGGACGAAACACAGACTTTTTTTTTTGTTGTTTTTTTTTTTTTATTTTATTTTTTATTTTTTAAAGTTTTCAAATATAATACATATATAAACATATTATCATAAACTTTCGCACAAACTTACATACACTTACATAGTGTTGTGTAGGTGATTACCTAATTATAATCAATGTCTAAACAGGAAACACAACCTATTATAACTAATCAATTATGAAATTTCAACATTGATGATCGGTTTCAAAATAATAACCAGTGATGTTAGGTTTACTGTTAATATCCGATCATCGATGATGGAATCTCAAAACTGATTCCCTATACTACACTTACATGGCCATACACACACAGATGCTCACATACCATTCGCTTATCAGACAAAAAGACAAACAAGACAGACAGAATAGGAAAGGGTAGAAAAAAGGAAAGAGGAAGGAGAGTAGAGAGGAGGAGGTACTGTTTTCTTCATACACACACACACACACATAAATATTGTATAATGTATTATACATGTAAATAAAGAATATTTAAATCATAACAACAAATCAAGAGTCGTCGGCGGAGTTAGCTTTATGATTAATGATTACAACAAAATAAATATACACGTACAGAGATAATTAAAGCCAGTGAAATAATATTAAGGTTAAGAACTTATAAGTCTAACAAGGGCTTCCATTTTCTCCAACCTAACTCAAATTGCATTTTAATATGATTCTTTTGACTATCATTTATATATTTTTGAACTACAAAATTATCTTTAATTACATTAATGAGAGCATTTATATTCAAAGAGTTACTAATACATCTGGTTTTATATATATAGTGTTTTATAATGATAAGAATTTCATTGTCAACTGAGTTACATTGTTGTGAAACTATTCCAAAAAGAAATGCCTCCTTATTATATGCAAATGGTATTAAAAGTAGATCTAATAAAGTTTCAAATTTCTGAAGAAGCAATGCACAATTGTCTCTATTTCCATATTACATAAAGTACACATAGGGCTAGGGTTTATCTTTATTTTATGAAGAAAAGAATTTGTTACTAAGATCTGATGAATAATTCTGACCTGCAACCATATTAATTTAGGATTTTTGGTGACTGTAAAGGGAAGATTATATACTTTTGACCACTTTTCAAAATCAAAGTTAAACTGCAAATTCCATTTTTTGGTGCCAGTAGGCATAGTCGGTGGAGTTATGATATGCTTGTAGAAATCTTTCACACCTTTTTTATTCTTGAAGAATATTTCTAATATTTGTGGTATGAAAGGATGCGAAAGTCTTTCTGATTTGAACTCGAGATTTCTTAAATAGCGTTTAATTGCAACTATTAATCCATGAAATTCTAGAAAATTAGTGTTAATTCTAAACTTTTGTAAAAACTCTTCAAAAGAAAGAAATGCTAAGTTTTCAGAATTTTTCATCAGATCATTCAATGTCAAGATACCTGCCATAAACCAGTTTGGATAAAAGACAAATTTATTATTAACTTTAATATCATTGTTATACCAAAGGGGTGTTTTGAGAATATAATTTTGTCTATTTAGCGATATATCCTTAGATTTGTTTAGTTTATCCCATGCTTTGAAAACATCTTTCCAGAATTGATTGCGGCATCTTGATCCACATAAATATACATAATCCTTTCCACATTTAAACAACTTATTTAGATCTATTGTTGACTTAAGGATCAGATACCATTTGCCTGATAACATAAATAATTTCCTTATCCAGCCTAATTTTAAAGAATGAATGAAAGAATATAAGTCAATCATATTTAGCCCACCATTATTATTATGTTGAATAATGACATCTGTTTTAATCTTATTGCACTTACCATTCCACAAAAAATCAAATAATAAAGAATTTATTGTAGCAATATATTTTTCTGATGGGTTTGGCAAGGTAATAAATAGATAATTGAGTTGTGAAATCAATTTTGCCAATTGGAGTCAAGCTCCGTCGCTTCCAAGAAGTAAGAAGTGCTTTAAGTTTTACAATTTTTTTGTCAAAATTTAATCTTGGTATTTGATCCAAATCAACCAGAAATATAAATCTATTTTTCCCCCACGGCAGATTCAAATCTGGCCGATATGTTACATCACTCCCTAACCATATAATTTGAGTTTTATTAGTATTAATGTTTAAACCAGAAATCTTTGCATAGTTATCTCACTCTGAGATAGACTCATTAAGCGACCTCTCTGAGCCATCTAATATTAAACCAGTGTCATCTGCATATTGCACATTTAGAATTGGTATATTATCAACATCAATGCCTTTAATAAACTCATTATTTCTAATTCTTGCTGCTAGAACTTCAGCACATAAAATAAAGATATAAGGAGATATTGTGTCACCTTTACGACAACCTCTTTCAATATTAATACGTTTTGAAAGATTCCCAAATTGATGAATAGAAGCATATACATTATTATTAAATAATTTTATCCACTTGCGTATATCTTCCCCAAAGTTAAAATATTTCAAAACTTTATCTATAAACCCCCATGAAACACTATCAAATGCTTTTTCAAAATCTACTAACATTAACATACCTGGAATATGGAGTTCTTCTACATAATGCATTACATCACACACTGTACGGATATTTTCACCTATATACCTACCTGATAAAAACCCAGTCTGATCTTCATTAATAATTTTGCTCAAAACTGTTTTTATTCTTTGTGTGATTACCCCGGAGGCAATTTTATAGGTAATATTCAAAAGTGTTACTGGCCTCCAATTTTTTAAGAAGTGGCGTGGCTTGTCTCCCTTAGGAATACATACGATGACACCATGTCTTTGAGTAACTGAACATTGACCAATATAGATGTGTTAAAAAACACAGACTTCATGATCAACAACGGAAATAACATCCCAAACCATAGAGGGGAAGTTGTAACAGGGTGAAGGCAAACAGAAAAAAAAACCAAAAAACAAAATAGAAAAGTCACACAAAAATACCTTTCGTAGCTAAGCCAGACTTTTGTACAGTTCCAGCTATTCCCGGTATAGCAGTTAATCGGTTGAGGTGTAGAAAGACTTTAAATGCCCTAGCTATTCTTCAGTCATGCTATGGAAATGCTGAAGGAGGACCTGGCGCTAATAGATAATTTGCTTTAGGCGTCTGTATTTACCACAAACACATCAGAAGACGGAGATGAAAAGGAAACCAGATATTATAAATGTCGCAAGTATGCCTAGATGAATAGCAATTAGCCTAAAGGCCATAATTATATTTGTTTACATATATCTCTATGATAACTGCTAACCGTGATGGAGACTGAAGGCCATAATTATATTTGTTTACATATATATCTAAAATAACTGCTAACCGTGATGGAGACTGAAGGCCATAATTATATTTGTTTACATACATATCTATAATAACTGCTCATCGTGATGGAGACTGAAGGCCATAATTATATTTGTTTACAAATATATCTATAATAACTGCTAACCGTGATGGAGACTGAAGGCCATAATTATATTTGTTTACATATATATCTAAAATAACTGATCACCGTGATGGAGACTGATCTATTAAATAAAGGTAGGAAGTACATTAGAGTAACAACAATGTTGAATGAAATATAATTATCAATATTCACCCGCTTGCTATCACATCCGGGACATCAAATACGGTATGAGCTATCTATAGAGCATCGTGTCCACCTTTATGTTACCTCAGGAGATAGATAAACCTTTTTACCCTGAAGAAGTCCACTAATGGGCCAAAGCGGTCGATAGACAACGAATAAATGAAAAATCTGCTCCGATGTGATTGATATTCATGCCTAATTCTTCACTATTGCTTAGTCTCCCTGCATTCTTTCGGGTAGCAAGTTTGAAAGTGAAAGATCCCTAAATCCACCCTAGCGTTAACGAACGGCGTTGTGTCTCCCACTTGGATTTTTTCAGCAATTTGCTGTTGTGTACGTGTAGTTGAATTTGTGGCTTATTTCTAGGATCAATGTAGCATTTTATCGCCTTTTGAAATCAGAGATTGTTGAAACTGAAAACATCTTACTTGATGCTATATGTGTCGTTGTAAACGTGTACACCAGTTACACAAAACAGTTTCATTCACATTGACTCCCATTAACATCGACGTCGAATGAAATTTTGTAGCCTAAATATGTTATCGATAGAATAAAACCAACGATCTGTTGTCCAGTGTCTACTTGAATAATTCCAACGATTAAGTATCAACAAATTGGATTTTTCGTGCAAACCCTACCTCGTCAGCATTGTTCAAAATATACCTGTTTTTCAGAGAAAATCTCTAGCGTACATTTTCTTACGTTTTCATGATGATGTATTGAAATTTGTTTTTATTACCATGGTTTTTTAACGTTTTTAACGGGGCGTATTTTGAAACTACTGTTTATAAAATTCATTTTCGGAGATAGCGTTTTAAAAGCATTCTTTTAAAAGGGCGTGTTTTTAAACGACTTAAAAAGTTACGTTTTAACGATTTTTAAAAATATATTTCAAAGTGTATTCTGTGTTTTTTCCACCGCTTGTTTGATTACAATGTGTGGGTATTTCAATACTTGTTCTTCCCAAGGCAATTTTGTTAACCTGCCCATGAGCCTTTGCGGTCATATGACTATAAAAACGTATATGAAAGAGGTTAAATATACCTCAATTGCTTAACAACTCTACAACTTGCAAGGAAATATTGCCGATTCATAAAACAAAATTCTTGCAATCTTGAAATTTTATTCTTTATACATGCTACTAAACAAATATTATGACTCCAGACCAATTGCTTTTTGAAAGAAATTCTAATATCTCAACACTTTAATTTAGAAACCTTGAGGGTAAGTCAAGGTCAGTCGTTTGGATTAATTTGATAGCACTCCATCCTATTATATCAAAGAAACCAATATCAACAGCCGGAAACTTTTGGTTTTAAAATATTTTACACAAGTTCAATCAAATGAACAATCTTCGTAGGCTTTCATCCCAGCATGCCACAGGCCCAGTATCAGAAACATGGCCTTTTAGCTATTAATGAAATATCGTTGAAAAAGGTTCAAAGTCAACCATATAAACACACTTGGTTACTGTTAGGTATGTAGTACTGTCAGTAGTCAGGACTTGTGTAAGTCTGGTCAGTCAGTATATGTGTACTACGTCACTGTTTTAGGGCAATAAAAGATGGCTGTTGTTACAAACCATGTGCTGTGCGGTTGTGGCTCAAGAAACCCACGTTAACCAGCAAATACATAACATTGGCGACGAGGATGCAGACATCGCCCAGACCACATTTTTATCGATGCATGAACTACCTGTTGTTTCGTTCGGTTTTGTTTATATTTACCTGGCCGCTGTGTAAACATTCAGTGTTTATGTCTCAAAATGGCGGGAATGACTGGGGAAATTGACAGTTTTGACGAATCTGTAGAGTCTTGGCGGTCCTACCAGGAGCGAATGGAACAGTACTTCGCGGCCAGTAAGGTCGGGGACAACAAAAAGGTCCCAGTGTTGTTAAGCATTATAGGGGGGAAGTGTTACACAATTCTAAGAGACTTGGCAGCCCCCAACGTCCCAGGGACGAAAACTTACAAGGAACTCGTTGACATATTGAAAGCACATTACGACCCTAAGCCCCTACAGATTGCGGAGCGTTTCAGATTCCATAAGAGGGATCAGAGAGCGGGCGAAAATGTGAGAGATTTCAACGCGGCAATACGTAAACTAAGCCAAGAGTGTGGTTTCGGTCAGGTTCTAGACGAGGCTCTGAGAGATCGTTTCGTATGCGGGTTTCGAAGTGAAAATGTATAGAAAGGACTTTTATCTCAAGACGGGCTGACCTATAAAACCGTATTGGATTTGGCTATAGCGATTGAAACGGCCAGGAAAGACGCCATTGAGCTCCAGAAGCAACACCAGCCGGCAGTACACAAGGTTAGTAACTACAAACGACAAAATCCAAGTAATGGAAGTACTGCACGAAAATCACAAGGTCAAGGTAATCCTACACAGAAGGTCAAATAGAAATGTTACAGGTGTACAGGAACAAATCACAAGGCCAATGAGTGCAAGTTTAAGGACGCAACATGTCATCACTGCAATAAAAACGGACAAATACAAAAGGCCTGTCTAGGAAAGAGGCGTGACAAAAATGGTCTACATTATGTCAAAGATGATGACGATGAGAACTTTGCATTATTAAACTCTGTAAACTCGCCTGGGAAAACCGGAATTATTTGGCTTCATCCAGAAGTAGATGGCAAAACATTATCTATGGAACTTGGTACTGGTTCGGCGATATTAGTGATAAGCAGAGCAACGTATGACAGATATTTCGCTGGTGCAACGCTACGCAAGTCAACCCTCCAACTAAAGACCTACTCTGGGGAGAAGCTTATTCCGGAAGGAATGACTGACGTCTCAGTAACCCTAAATGGACGAGAAAACCTGGACCTGTTTGTGGTGAAGAACGGTGGACCTCCACTGTTTGGGCGTAGTTGGTTGCGCGTTATTAAACTTGATTGGACCATGATTAAGTCTCTTAAAGGGAAAGAGCTCGATCCAGGGCGTCCTCAGGGACCAGAGGCAACAGACGTTGATTTGAAGTCCAAATTGCAGGCGAGGTTCCCAGTTGTTTTTAAGGATGAACTGGGTACACTTAAGGACGACGCTAACCCACGGTTCATAAAGGCACGGCCTATACCTTATGCCCTCAAGGAAAAGGTGGAACGAGAGCTTGATCGACTAGTTAATGAGGGTATCACTGAAAGAGTTGAACATAGTGAATGGGCAACGCCTATCGTGCCAATACCGAAGAAAGATGGTTCGGTTAGAATATGTGGAGACTTCAAAGTTATAGTAAACCAATTACTAGAGGTCGATACATACCCTTTTTCCAAGATAGAGGACATTTTTGCTACATTAGCAGGAGGGAAGTGATTTTCAAAGTTAGACCTGCTTAACGCATACTTACAAATGGAAGTGCGCCCAGAAGACCGCCAGTATTTGACGATAAATACACATCGCGGGCTGTATCGCTACAAAAGGTTGGCATTCAGAATCTCATCGCCGCCAGCAATATGGCAAAGAACGATGGAGCAAGTGCTACAAAACTTATCTGAGTGCAATGTCTGTTGGATGACATGATCATAACCGGCAAAACTACAGATCAGCACGTGTCAAACATTGAAAAGGTCTTGCACCGACTACAGGAATATGGATTGAGGCTTTATGGGGGAAAATGTGAGTTCTTCCGGAAAAAAGGTGGAATTCTGTGGTCACATCATTGACGAAGAGGGCCTACATAAGGCTCGGGAGAAGGTTGCTGCCATTGTTAACGCACCATCACCAGAGAATATTTCCCAGTTTAGAGCCTTTCTCGGGCTTATCAACTACTATAGCCGCTTCGTTAAGAACTTAGCAGTCGGTCAAACGTCCTATCGCGTCCGAGCAAGTTCTGACCCATTATGACTCTAGTAAAACGGTGAAGCTTGCTACGCATTGCTCCTCTCCGGATTTCAGTACGACATCGTGTACAAGAGCTTGTCACACCACTGTAACGCGAATGGGTTGTCGCGTCTTCCTCTTCCAAACACAGAACACATGGAGGAGATGGATAGTACTTGCGCCTACATGACAGCAAAAATGGGGACATTACCAGTGACCACTAAGGCTATACAGGACGCGACTCGGAAGGACCCTGTACTGTCCAAGGTCTATTCTGCAACCATGAATGAATGGGCCCCTGTGGACAAGCCGCTTGGGGCATACTATAACAGGTCAAAAGAACTGTCCTTACATCAAGGGTGTATTACGTGGGGGATCAGAGTTGTAATCCCTGAAAAACTCCAGAGTAAGGTACTTGGAGAAATCCTTGAAATCGGCAAAGAACGTGACGGATTTTATTGCTACAAAACTCAGCAAATTCCTGATGGCGTACAGGACCATATCGCAGGAGACGACGAAGGAAACGCCATCAGTATTGTTCCACGTATTGTTTAGCGCGGGAGAACCTGTGTCCGTACGAGACTACCGACAGGACCACAAGAAATGGATCCCAGCAACAATCTCAGAGAAAACAGGACCATTGTCCTACAAGGTAGAGGTCGCACCGGGAGTACTATGGAGACGACATACTGATCAAATAAGTCGGGCAGAGAGCGCAAAGGGGAACATGGGGGCCTCTGCGGATCACGCTAATGTGGACATTACACCGAACTCTACATCTACATTTAACGAGACCACCACGACATCTGGGACGGATGTACCTGGAGGGACTCCATCCAAACAAAGTGTCGGGAAGTCAACATCCAGGGCTAAGCGTCAAGAGACTATACCCACCAGAACACTTCCTGCTAGATTTAATCGCGGGTGCGCGCCAAATCGTTTGGATTTGTAAATGGACTGATCAGTTTTCCTTTATAGTTTAGTTCTAGTCACATTGGTACACTGTGTCCGGAGGCATAATAATCCTCGTGCAACCCATAGACCCCAGGGCTCTGTATTAGTTAATGTTATAGTTAAGGTTGTTTTAGTTTTGATAGCTCTAGTTAGGCCATGACGTACCTATTACCCCTCAGTATTTTGATTACGAGTGAACATTCCAAATGAACAGACAGCAAGGTGTAAAGTGTCAGTAATTGCTAAAATCTTGTTCTCACAGATTTGAGGGGAGGGATGTTAGGTATGTAGTACTGTCAGTAGTCAGGACTTGTGTAAGTCTGGTCAGTCAGTATATGTGTACTACGTCACTGTTTTGGGGCAATAAAAGATGGCTGTTGTTACAAACCATGTGCTGTTCGGTTGTGGCTCAAGAAACCATCGTTAACCAGCAAATACATAACAGTTACCTGTCATCCCAGCATGCTATGGGCCTAATATCAATAGCCTGTATTTCTGTTATTGAGAAGTCGTTGGAATGGAAAGTGTTCGCACGGCTGACGGCGCACGACGACGTACGAAAATAACGATGAATATAGGTCATCCTGACATCCTCAAAAAGTCGAGTACCAGGTTTGTATGGGACAGAAAAGAGGACAGCTTTCTGACATCCTTCAGGTTATTCCGACTAATGGTGACTAAAACGGAAATTGTGACCAATGTGTTGATGTTTGTCTAGTAGTAGTACCCATTCAAACTATTTTAAGCGAAAACAATTATCGGTTACACAAGTCGAAGATGCAGAAAGGAGGTGTTTGAAACAGGGAAGTCGTGGCGGTAATTTTGGCGTGTGGTATATTCAACATTTACGTGTATGGCAACAACGTTGAACTAATAACAGATCACAAGTCAATTGGGAACCTTCACTTTTGCAAATTCCAAACATGATGTGCTGGTCGAACGGTTGATTTTAGGCTGATGCACTTTCTGTATTAAATGTCAATTCGGTTAACTTGAATATTGCAGACGTAATTGTCCCGCCATATCTGAAGGCATAACTTGAAGTCACGTCTTATCTTCAGAACAAATTAAATCATGTGTTGCATAGGCAATACTTAAACGCAATGCGACAACATAACAAATTTGACCATTAAATTATTTTTTCCCCTTTTTATTGTAAGTATGAAAATAAGTGTTATCACAAAATTGGTGGCAGCGGTGGAATAAACCAGCGTGTGGGTTTTTGGTTTTGAATACATCCGTTTTCTATATTATAATAATTTGATAGGAATTTGCTAGACATGCATTCCCTGGTGGACATTCCTTCTATTTCTACCGCTATAGTTGAGAGAAGCTGCCAATTATACAGAAGAGATGAACCCTATTGTGTATTGAGGCTGAGAGAGAGGCTGATGAAAGGGCTGAGGAGCACAAACCGCAAGATGGAGTTCGACAGGTATTTCCAATGATGCTAGCGGTTCTAGGAGCTCCTCAGTTGCGCCGAAGGGACCGAAATTACCCGCTATTGAAGAGGGAAAGGACGGAATGGATGCATATATTCAGCGCTTTGAAGTGTATGCCACTGCTCAGAAATGGAATAGGGACCAGTGGGGGACCAACGTAAGTGCCTCGTTGAAGGGGAAAGCATTGGACTTGTTTTCATGGTTACCGGTGTCCCAAGCCTTGAACTTCGATGATCTGAGGAAGGTTATGTTACAACGTTTCCGGAAGAGTTTTAGGAAATGTGACCAGAGGGAGACGAGACCTTTGCCCAGTTTGCTAAGCGTTTAGAGGGTTATCTGGACAGATCGAAGGCGATGGCTAGGACTGCGAAAACATATGACGGCTTGAAGGACTTGATGATAAGGGACCAGTTTATTAGTGGGTGTAACCAGGACTTGTCTTTATTCCTCAAAGAGAGATCTCTATCATCGGTAGGGAATATGGCAAAGTTAGCTAATCAGTATGTGGAAGCCAGAGGTGCGCCAGCCAGTTCCTTGTCATCCAAGTGTGCAAAGACGACCAGCGGTGGAAAGACAGCTGTTGGAAGTGGAGGAGGTACCACAGACTGTCGTAACAAGAAATCGGGAGGTAAAGTGGCTTCTGTTGCAGAAGCTAACGTCGGCGACGGTAAGCAGCGGCATTCCAGAAGGGGCAAGAGGAAATATGTACAGAAGAAGGGGAGTAGAGACTCAGATGAGCAAGAGGAGAAGAATGATACGGAACTTAGTGTGCCATGTTATATAGTGTTCAATGGAGATGTCAGTAGTGACAGGACGTATCGGAGTACGACTTGTCAAGGTACTGAAGGACACCGGGTGTAGTGGTGTTGTGGTTCGGCGAAGTTAAGAGGAACCTGTGCAGATAACAAACCGAACAAGGACTTGCACTTTGGCTGATGGGTCGAAACTGGTTGTGCCAATTGCAGAACTAGGGGTAGATACGCCATACCTGAAAGGTACTATAGAAGCATGGGTACTCCACACGCCGTTACACGACTTGATCGTAGGAAACGTCGTCGGCGCCAGACCACCGGATCAGCCTGATGAGAGTTGGACGGAGGAACAGACTACCCTACAAGCGGTTGAGACCAGACACCAGAAGAAGACGAAAGGGAATTACAGACCACTGAAGGTTCCAGAAATGCTGAGAGACTTAGGAAGCGTAAATGAATTGAAGTCGAAACAGAAGAGTGATAAGACTTTGGCGAAGTTAAGGAAACTGGCACAGAAGTCAGAGGTTTGTGATCGAGGGGATGGAGGACACTCGAAGATATACTACCACAAGGGACTCTTACACAGGAAGTTCTACAGCCCAAGAACAGCGAATGGAAAGAGTTTCCGTCAAATGGTGGTACCGGAAAAGTTTAGACAGACTGTTTTGCAGTTAGCTCACGAGTCTATCATGGCAGGACATCTTGCAGCTAAGCGGACATCGGGCCGAGTTTTATCAGAATTGTATTGGCCAGGAGTCCAGGCAGACGTCGTACGCTTTTGTAGATCATGTGATGCATGTCAGAGGTCATTTCCCAAGAGAAGAGTAGCAGCAGCGCCTTATCACCCAATGTGCAATGGGTTGGTTGAGAGGTTCAATGGCACGTCAAAGCTGATGTTAAGGCGCATGAGTAGTAAGACCTGAGGACTGGGATCGTTTCATCAACGCATTGCTGTTTGCATACAGAGAGGTGCCTCACGAAAGCCTTGGGTTTTCCCCATTTGAGATGTTATATGGGCGAACAGTTCGGGGACCTATGATGATCTTACGAGAGCCGTGGAGTAAGGATTTCCCAGATGATGACGTTAAGACGACATACTTATACGTCATGGATTAACGGGAGAAGCTGGAGAAGACCTGTGAGATTGCCATGGACAATCTTCGAGAGGCGAGACAAGACAGAGGAAGCAGTTCAACAAATGGGCTAAGCAACGAGATTTAAATCCAGGAGATAAGGTGCTGGTACTACTGCCTAACAAGGCAAACAAGTTAATACTTCAGTGGAGAGGGCCTTATGATGTTGTTGAGAAGGTGGGACCTACCGATTATAGAGTCAACCGGGATGG